TATGTATTATTATTATTATCTATTTTTATTATCTATTATTATTATCTATTATTATTATTATCTATTATTATTATCTATTATTATTATCTATTATTATTATATATTATTATTATTATTTAAGTATATGCTGAGCTCAAAATTTGATGTCATGATTTTGGACGTTTACTATGTTTATTTAATTTTATTGATTTAAGATTTTTATTCTGTTGTACAGGATATACGTTTTTAGAATATGGGGACCAAATTTAGTTTTATATTTTGGGTTTGATTGGTAATGGTATTTTATCTAGAGTCCTTAGTAAAACCTTGGCACATCACATAATTCCCCAAATGTCATCGAACTGTGTTTTAGTATGTGGGACATGTGAGCAAGTCCTGCTTTGATGTAGTGATTCTATTTGAATGATATTGTATATGACATTGTGCCTAATTGACTGGAGTATTTGATCTATGAATACAACAAGGATGCTGGCGATATTAAATATTTGTTGGTTAACATTCCAGGTGAGGCAAGAACGTCCCAGAAAGGGTGCAGCATGTGGCAGATGCTTTATCAAGCTAAATGACGCTCAGAGAAGAGAAGTGTTGAAATCCTTCAAGGACTATGAGAAGCAAAATATTTATCTTCGTGGCTGTGTTAAGATTAATCAAACAGACAAAATTCGACGACGCCCTCGAAAAGAAAATGGGAAGAAACGTCCTAGCTATTCAGTGAATCAGAGAACTATAACTATGTTTAAGGGCATAAAACAATCTCGAGTGAAAAGTTCTTAACTTCACTAGTTACATAGCTGATGGTCGTGGTAAGTATGGCAACCATGGACAGATTGATGATCAAATACAGGATCGTATCCGTGACCGTATTAGAAAGTCAGTACAGCCACCAGAAGAATCAAAAACGTAAATATTGGATGCATCGTTATCAATTTTTGAACTACACAGGATATTTCTTCAGGAAAATCCAAATCTCGATGGATTGTACCGAGACATCTTTAACCACGATTTTTCCATTTCCTTTGGGTTTTCCCAGGAGCGATACTTGTGATACTTTGTGAGCTTCATGATTGTCTCCTGCCCTTTCAACTGCCTTCATTTTTAAAGACAACAACTTAAGGCTCCACACGAACTTCATGTTACAAAGGTGGACGTCTTCAACATGCAACTGTGTGAAACAATATATTCAGTAAAGGCCATTGAAGTCTGTTACACATCAGTGTGGCCATGGAAGTCTGTTACACAGCAGTGTGGCCATGGAAGTCTGTTACACAGCAGTGTGGCCATGGAAGTCTGTTACACATCAGTGTGGCCATGGAAGTCTGTTACACAGCAGTGTGGCCATGGAAGTCTGTTACACAGCAGTGTGGCCATGGAAGTCTGTTACACATCAGTGTGGCCATGGAAGTCTGTTACACAGCAGTGTGGCCATGGAAGTCTGTTACACAGCAGTGTGTGCTATGGACTTTCAGAAGAATCTTCCTCTTCCGAAAACTGGCAACTTTGGTTACATAACTATTGTATCCATGACAATGTCAAGGATAACACTATGATGTTCGTATATGCTGAACACTAAGCAGCTAAGGGGCCCAAATGAAGTCATCTCCTGTTTGAATCACTGTGTGTCCTCCTTGCCCAAGGAGATAAGAAAGTTGCACCTTTTTGCAGATAACTGCTTTTCACAATACATGAACCGTTATATTATTGCTTATCTGCAGTGTTTGGAAGATACAGTTCAGTAGGATAAGATATATGTTTATTATCCCATCCATAATAGGAAGGATAGAGAAGAAGAAGCTGGGAAAGGACAGGGTGATAAAACCATCCCTTATCCCTTTCAGGTGGTGTTTGTGGAGCACGCTCTCACAGATGATATGAACGATGATAGAATCCCTGTTGTGTCCAAATGAAAAATTATGAGGCAGCATTGGATCCACTACTCAAAGCACCCGCTGGATTATCATGGTTTAGGGGAATGCTCTTCCAAAGAGGTAAAACTGTTTTGACTAGTGGTCCAATGCTGCCTCGTCTTACAGGTCCCGCTGGATTATCAATGCTCTTCCAGAGAGGTAAAACACCTGTAAGCCGAAACACAATGACCGGGGACTATTCCGAAAAGGTTGTACTTCTAAAGAGGGGGGGGGGGGTAAACTTGGCCAGGTCAGGGTAGCTGTGCAGTCTGCAAATCGTGCATATGTCGATTTCCTCCCCATTAATTCGGCAAAGTTGAATGATGTGAATGCGATGTTAAGACATATCAGCTTGCTATCCTTTGTAAAATTCTACAATCATTTGAGAGGGTTTGTTTTTGTTTGTTTAATTTCGTGCATACTCTTATACCAAAGAATAGTGGGATTGACCGTCACATTATAACGTCCCTACGCTGAAACCCCACGGCTGAAAGGGCGAGCATGTTGGGTGTGACGGGGATTCGAACCCGCGACCCTCAAATTGCGAGTCGAGCGCGTTCGAATCCCCGTCACACCAATACATGCTCGCCCTTTCAGCCGTGGGGAGTTATAAAGTGACGGTCAATCCCACTATCCGTTGGTAAAAGAGTAGCCCAAGAGTTGGCGGTGGGTGGTGAGGACTAGATGCCTTCCCTCTAGTCTTAAACTGGTAAATTAGAGACGGCTAGCGCAGATAGCCCTCGTGTAGCTTTGCGCGAAATTCAAAACAAACAAACTTACGAGTTTGCTGTTCAAAAAGGTACTCAAGTCCAGGCCTGTGGGATAAATGTTCCCAAGTCCAGGTTCCCAGAGGAAAAAGTACTTAAGTCAAAAAGCATTTTTTGCTAAGAATCTCATATTGAAAGATATTTGGCTCTGGAAATATGTGTGTCGAATACCTAAGAATATTGCAGGCTTAAACTAAAAAAACCAATGGTTGCCTTGACATAGTGTGATTCCCAGGTTAGTTTTAAATATTCAGATCACAATTTCCCGGAAGTGTTATTTTGTGACTTGAGTAGTTTTTATACTTTATTTTAATTTATTTTAATTAACATCTTCAAGAATGACTCACCTAAAACTCCGATGGTGATAATGATGTACATTGCCAACTTTTGTGGACACAGATCAATCTCAGTTAACGAAACCAAAACCTTTCCCCTCAAAGGACCATTCTCTAATGCTGAGGAGCAGTAGGTTTCGTTTATATCTGAAACCTAGTTTGAAAAAATGACTGCCTATTAAAGTGTTTTTACTGTACAAAGTTCGTTCAACTCTGAACCTTATATAAAAATGCCATTTGAAAAATAACAGCCATTTTGATAATTGTAACTAAAAATTATATTTCAAAATTATTAAAACAAGCAAGGTGTAATTATGTTAGATTCAAAGTTAAGATCTAAGTTACAAGATGTTATATCCAAACAACACATTAATTAGAGCCCCCAGCAATACAATGGTATATCTGCGGACTCACAACACTAGAAACCGGGTTACGATACCCGTGTTAGGAAGCTTACAGATAGCTCACAGTGTAGCTTTGTGCTTGATTAGAAACAAACATTAATTAGATTGTTTGTTAGTTTGTTTTTAATTATGCACAAAGCTACACAAGGGCTATCTGTGCTCTGCCCATCACAGGTATCGAGATCCGGTTTCTAGCGTTGTGATTCCGCAGACATACCGCTGTCCCACTGGGGGAGGCCATTAATTAGATAATGTTTCATTTCATGTCAAAGGTGTAACTATGATGATCTAAGTTAAAGGATGTTACATCCTAACTGAAAGTATCAGCTCAGTTTTCAGTACTACGTGTATTACATTAGGTTTCATTACTACATGTATTACATTAGGTTTCAGTAGTGTATGTATTACGTTAGGTTTCACAACTACATGAATGACATTAGGTTACAGTAGTTTATGTATTAGACTAAATTTCAGTAGTGTATGTATTACATCAGGTTTCATTACTACATGTATTACATTAGGTTTCAGTAGTGTACATATTACACTAGGTTTCACTGTTTGCGTGTATTAGATCAGCTACGATAATAGATCGGACACACAGCATGACTGAAATATATTGATAAATTAGTAAAAGAAAACGATTTGTTAATTATATTCAGTTACTGTGTGTATAACAGTGGAGATGATGTAGAAGATCTCGTCCTGGACGAGATCACGTTATCTGGCAATCCTTGGCTTTGTTTGTGCAAAACTCTTCCTTTCAGAAACTGGCTTTTCAGTCACAGAGATGTGGTAAGTTAATCAATTTATTTACAGCTATAAGTAAGAAGATCAAAAGGTTCAGTTAAAAACTACAGTTGGATTATAATTATTAATATCCATTATTAAAATGTAATATTTAACTAAAGATCAATTTTGTGGACAACGGGAAAGTCTCAATGTTGTTTCTAGCAAGGCTAAGCCTTTTTAAATTTTCTGGAAAACTCACGTTATCCACAACGGTGATTCTATTATTCTCAAGTAATAGTGTCTGAAGCTGTGGTCTTCTACAGAAGTCTACATCTTGAAGGTTTTGGATTGAGTTATTGTTCATATTGAAAAGACCCACTTTTCCTGGAAGGACTGTTGGAATATCTGACATCTGGCGACCAGAACAGTCAACGTTAATGAAGTAATCCGAATTATTGCTGACACAAAAACAATTGCATGGTTCAGGACAATGTTGAGGCCAGATAAGAAGTTCACTCTCCTTCAAGTGTCTGAAGTAACGATTTTTTAACCACTGTGGTTGAAAACATCTGGGTCTATCTATCACTTTCCTTTTTTCTCTACTCCAACGTAGAAGCCACGTGACACGACAATCACAAGCCAGCGGGTTACCTTTAAAGTTATAAATAAAACAGAATACGTGTCAGATCTATAGAACTTCGTTTTACTAATAACGTTGGTATAATTTACATTTTTGTTCCGGTTATCACTGGACTACCAGAAAGGGACCACTACCCAATTTTAACGTATTCCTGACACAATTACTATAATGGACGTGTATATGTGATACTAATAATATATACTATGTGATGCCATCTATTGACTGGCACCACAAACACAAATCCATAAAAAAATTCACTCTTTTGGGTATTCAAGATTCAAACAATTATCAAAATAACTACGGCATGTACAACAACTATTTCTTTATCACAGAACACAATTTTAAATAAAATACTCTCCTCACAACAAGAACACGTCTTTCAACTAGGACCGTACGTGAGGGTTTGATTATATCGTTGTTGATGTAATTTATAAATACAGTACTAAAAAATGTAGTTCTTAAAAATGTTATTTTTTCAATAACGGGTAGCCCTTTTAATATATACAAATATTACAGTTTATATCAGCACAATCCGAACACTTTTCCCGTGCCGTACTTCCTAGAAAAATCCTTTTTTTTTATTACAAAATGTTCACTTTTTATAAAAAATTTTCAATGAGGTATGAATAAACATAGGATGACGTTTCTGCTAATAGATACAATATAACTTATGTTACTTACTTGTTCTAAAATTTTCAATGAGGTATGAATAAACATAGGATGACGTTTCTGCTAATAGATACAATATAACTTATGTTACTTACTTGTTCTAATAAATTTCTGATTACAAATATGCAACAGATTTGTGGGGATACTCACCCCATATTTTAATATACCATAGGTTTTTCAACTGTTCTGGAAAACTTTCCCTCGACAACGTCTCCAAACGATTCGCTCCCACAAAGAGAATAGCCAGGAGTTTCATGTTAACAAATGCTCCTTCGACTGAGACGAGTCTGTTTGATGAAATTTTTAATTTATACAACTGTTGGTTTCTATTAAAGTCGGTAGCGTTCAGATGTGTCAGATGGTTGTTGAATAAGTCTAGAACCTGAAGCCAAGGAACATACTGCAAAGACCCATTCAAACTTTGGATCAAGTTGTGGTTCAGGATTAGGAGTTTCAACTTTCTAAGACCTTGAAACGCGTTTGATGCTAGCCATGTAATCTTGTTCCTTGACAGCATTAGATGTTGTAGCATTTCGTTGTTCTGAAACGTTCGTTCTTCAATACAAGACAGGGCATTATTGTTCAGATACAAATATTGTAACTTGGGCAGTTCATCCAATGCCCCTTTTACATTTTTTATACGGTTATAGCTCACATACAGAACTTCGACTGGAGTGTTAACGAAGAGGTCGGTGATGGTTATCAGCTGAGTCCTGGAGAGGTTAATCTCAACCAGAGGTAAATTGTTAAATGTTGTGTTTTCAAATTCAACTATCCGATTGTTACTTAGATCTAATTTGCGAAGAAAGAGCAGTTTCTGAAATGTTTCTTTATGAACCGATTTTAATTTGGTGTGATCTAGTTTCAACAAATTCAACGACACATAATTATTGTCAAATGTTTCTTTTCTCAACGACTGTAAAGGGTTCTTTGATAGATAAAGTTCTTTCACGTGGAATAACCTCGTCGAAGTTAACTTGTCGATATTAGTCAGGTTGTTGTTAATTAGGTTCACCTTCTGTAAAATATATAAATATCAAGTTTAATTCTAGGTAAAATATATAAATATCAAGTTTAATTCTAGGTAAAATATATAAATATCAAGTTTAACTCTATCTAAAATAATGTGTATTTAACCTGTTCAATAGACTCATTAGGTCCACCTTTTTAAGATATTTAAATAACATGTTTAGTCCTTCGTGTCCTGGGTATGACGTTAAACTACATCCAGCAATAGAACAGTCAACTGTCATGGTAACAATGAGACGAGTACTCTCTATCTGTTGTAGTCTTATTAGGTAAGGTGTAGCACACTCTAGACTCCCTTACCAGGGTTAAAGTTGAGGGTGGATCATCTCGTCTGGCGGATGTTTGGTGCAACTGGGACAAAGATAGAGGAAACCTACTCACGTTTATTGAACACTGAAGAAACAGCAACCTACTGCAGTATTTTATCGATCATAATCTGTGGTCTTTCACGAATCAAGGAAAAGCCACAACGGTGTGAAAGGGTCCCTGACAGAAATGGGGAGAACAGGTGACTCCTGACTGTCAGCATGTTACTGTTCACACCCAGAAGAGAGCACTCAGAATGTGAGGACTGTATGCCAAATTGGAAAACTGTTTGATGTCAAGCATGAGGTGAAGAGATTAAAGATCAGTATTCTAGGTTTGTGTGAAACATGTTGGGATCAGTATTCTAGGTTTGTGTGAAACATGTTGGGATCAGTATTCTAGGTTTGTGTGAAACATGTTGGAATCAGTATTCTAGGTTTGTGTGAAACATGTTGGATTCAGTATTCTAGGTTTGTGTAGAACATGTTGGGATCAGTATTCTAGGTTTGTGTGAAACATGTTGGATTCAGTATTCTAGGTTTGTTTGAAACATGTTGGGATCAGTATTCTAGAATTGTGTGAAACATGTTGGAATCAGTATTCTAGGTTTGTGTGAAACATGTTGGATTCAGTATTCTAGGTTTATGTGAAACATGTTAGGATCAGTATTCTAGGTTTGTGTTCCACACAAACCTAGAATACTGAATCCAACATGCTTCACACAAACCTAGAATACTGATCCCAACATGTTCCACACAAACCTAGAATACTGATCCCAACATGTTCCACACAAACCTAGAATACTGATTCCAACATGTTTCACACAAACCTAGAATACTGATCCTAACATGTTTCACATAAACCTAGAATACTGATCCTAACACGTTTCACACAAACCTAGAATACTGATCCTAACACGTTTCACACAAACCTAGAATACTGATCCTAACACGTTTCACATGTTGGGATCAGTATTCTAAGTTTGTGTGAAACATGTTGGGATCAGTATTCTAGAATTGTGTGAAACGTGTTGGGAAGATGCTAGAACTATTGTTTCCAGAAGTTGGGAAGATAATTTATTCAGGAGTCTAGATGTCCGAAAGATGAGTTGGGTTGATTCTGGATGAAGAAACCTCAAAGTGTTTACATGGATTTTGAGTAATATCTGATAGTGATGTTTGTCAAAATAAAGGCTAAACCTTTCAACATTGGAATAATACAAGTCTATACGGCGATAGTTGAAAACGAGGAAGAGGGTACTCGGCAAACCTCGGAAATGGTCGTAGTGATGGGAATAAAATGCGGCAGTTGATTGTGAGAAAGGATGGACTTGGAGAAAAAATGGTTGATATTTGTGTTGCAAATGATCAAGTCATACAAACACGTGATTACCTAATTATGTGTTTTACTTGTAAAACTCCCTTCGTACTACACCTTTACAAAGATGTTTTACTGGTAAAACCCCCTTGGTACTACAACTTTAAAATGATGTTTTACTGGTAAAACTCCCTTGGTACTACATATTTACAAAGATGTTTTACTGGTAAAACTCTCTTGGTACTACATATTTACAAAGATGTTTTACTGGTAAAACTCCCTTGGTACTACATATTAACAAAGATGTTTTACTGGTAAAACTCTCTTGGTACTACATATTTACAAAGATGTTTTACTGGTAAAACTCCCTTGGTACTACATATTTACAAAGATGTTTTACTGGTAAAACTCCCTTGGTACTACATATTTACAAAGATGTTTTACTGGTAAAACTCC